GTTTAAAACTAGGGTCCAGAATAAATAATGAAAACATTTCCTCTGTTCCTTAGTCATGTCTCCAGGCTCATCTTTTATTACGCTTGCTTTCCATTTTGAATTTTTATTCACACAAAAAAATAGAAGATTTAGTGTTGTGCAGACCACTGCATTATTGTAATAATTGTATAAATAACGTCGGTGCATTCCTAAATTCGCATTAGACTGGCTAGTTGGATGCCTATCGGACAAGTGGCTTCATTTGTGTACTCTGGAATATCGGCAAAAATCGAAATATCTGCTACTTTGAACTCAGTTTCAAGCTACTTTCAGTCCTGAAACCAATCAAAATCATCTCTGTTTCTGTAATATATCTTACATTCTATCAAATAAGACTAAGAAACCCAGAATACCACTACAGTGGACCCTCCCTTTTCATTCTTAATTCGTTCCAGAGAGTCCAACGAAATGTGACATTGACTAAAGCTGAAACCATTTTCAACATAAGAAATAATGTAAATCCAATTAATCCATTTCAGACATCCATAAGTATAAAAAAAAATACATTTTATAGAGAAAAACTATATTCCACGGCTTATTTACCTATCACAATTCATCTAATATGACATAAACAATATTAATAACATAGAAACATGACATATACTCTGGAATGAATAAAATATGTCATTACATATGTGAGGAATAAATGGTGGTGATATTGTTGGGTTTATAAGGGCCACTGAGAGAAGCTGTACATATTAGTGGTAGTGAAGGCAGCAGCAGAGACCACCAACACTATTCACACAAACGAATGAGAAATCAAGTATTAAACAATAATAATATGACACTTACCTTTATTGAAAACTCTTGTTGGTGTATGGAAGACAGGAGGAGGGGAGAGGATGGAGAAGTTAAACTATTGTTTGAAGGGGAATCCCCTTCCATAAAGAGAGCTCTTGTAGCTCTACCCCCTACCACAATCACTACCACCCTCTACTACCATCACTACCACCCTCTACCACCATCACTACCACCCTCTACCACTATCAACCACCTTCACAACTGCTACCACCCTCTACCACCATCACTACTACTACCACCATCACTATCACCTTCTACCACCATCACAATCACCCTCTACCACCATCACAACCACTACCACCTGTCATCATCACAACTGCTACCACCCTCTACCACCATCACAACTGCTACCACCCTCTACCACCATCACAGCTGCTACCACCCTCTACCACCATCACAGCTGCTACCACCCTCTACCACCATCACAACTGCTACCACCCTCTACCACCATCACAACTGCTACCACCCTCTACCACCATTACAACCACTACCACCATCACAACTGCTACCACCCTCTACCACCATCACAACTGTACCACCCTCTACCACCATCATTACCACCCTCTACCACCATCACAACCACTACCATCCTGTACCACCACTTTTATTTTTCTACAAACTTTTCCTTTAATTCTTTCGTGTTTCTTACCTTCTTTACCAAAGGACTGGCAGTAGAAGCTTTGTTTGGGCCCATGGTGGCTTATTTAGCAGTCAAATAGAATAAACAAGTGCAAGAAACCACAAATTATTACGAAATAATTCATGTCGGCTCGCAGAGTAATGTTCACTCAACCATAAACAAAGTGATACTGCCTCAGGATGAGTGTGTGGGAGGTTGTGTGAGCAGCACACTCAGATCTCTACTGTACCACCAACAAGAACGAAGGAGAGCAATGACAACTGAGCCGCCAATATTTTTACTGTACCACCGACGAGAACAGAGTAACGCAACAAAAACTGAGCCAATATTTTTACAGAGAAAATTGGCCAAAACTGAAATGAACGAAAGCAGAGGTCAATGGAAAGGGAGGGTCTGCTGTATTAAAAGGCGTACAAAAATATACCATAAGTTGCTGAACGTGTACGAACCATAAACAGACAGGTTCGTCTGTTTACATACTCTGCGGCTCTGTCCTCTCTCATTTACTTGTTCTCTCTCTCTCATTTATTCATTATCTCGTTTACTCACCTCTCACCTTACATTAAGGCTACAAATATTTTAAGGTAAATAATGAGTGTACTGTATATGCATTTTATTACTAGGGTGCTTTAAATCTCATAGTATATTGTGTGTGGGTGGGTTGGTCAGGCAGGCTACCATACCTCCCACACCTGACTTCCTACAAATATATACTTTTCACCTCTCACCCTACATTTAGACCATTAAGACTATGTACAAATATTTGAAGGGAAGTAATGAGTGTACTGTATATGCATTTTATCACTAGGGCGCTTTAAACAGTATATTACGTGTGGGTGGGTTGGCCAGGAGGGCTACCATACCTACCGCACCTGACTTCTTACAATAAATATTATTCACCTCTCGCCTTACATTAAGACTACAAATATTTTGAGATAAGTAATGGATCATCCTCGAAAGGGTTGGAGGGAGAGGGTAAAGGAGGTTATGTGGGCGAGGGGCTTGGACTTCCAGGAAACGTGCATGAGCATGTTAGATAGGAGTGAATGGAGACGAATGGTATTTGGGACCTGACGAGCTGTTGGAGTGTGAGCAGGGTAATATTTAGTGAAGGGATTCAGGGAAACCGGTTAATTTACATAGCTGGACTTGAGTTCTGGAAATGGGAAGTACAATGCCTGCACTCTAAAGGAGGGGTTCAGGATATTGGCAGTTTGGAGGGATATGTTGTGTATCTTTATACATATATACTCCTAAATTGTATTCTGAGCACCTCTGCAAAAACAGTGGGAGACAGCCGACTTGTTAAAAAAAAAAAAAGTAATAAGTGTACTGTGTGTGTGTATTTTACTTTTTATTGTTTTTTAATGCCTAGTTCTGTTGCAAGCTTAACATATGTTAATGTAAACTTGTTATCTGGATTTATATGCATTTATAAATGGAAAAACATGGCGTTCTGCTTTCCTGCGATTCCGCTTTCTGGCAGTAGCCTGGAACCTAACCTGCCGTATAAGTGAAGTCCTACTGTACTTGCAACGCTTGGATATTTATTTAAGCAATATTTTGCTCACTAGGAGTTTTATCAAAATTTCAAACTTTCTTTGTAACTCACATTTTTTCCTTTTACCCTAGGAGCTACTGTGCATTAAGTTTGAACTTGCAATAGTTTATCCTTGTTTTTTGGGTGAAGATGCCCTATCATTGTTGTACAGTGAAACCTCAAAAATCGAACTTAATCCGTTCCAGGAGCTAGTTCTAAATTCGAAAAGTCTGAAATTCGAAGCAATATTTTCCATAAGAAATAATGGAAATACAATTAATCCGTTCCAGAAACCCAAAAATATTCACACAAAAAATACATTTTATAGAGATTAATTACAGTTTTACATACAACAAATACTATAGTTTTTAATTATGTATAGTAATACATATAAATAACATTTTTACTTACCTTTATTGAAGATTGGTGATGGCATCTGGAAGATAGGGAGGAGGAGAGAGGGAGTTGAGGTTAGTGTTTGGAAGGAGAATCCTTCTCCATGAGGACATCAGGTAAAGCCCTCTCTGGGGTTACTTCCCTTCTCTGTCTTTTAATGCCACTAGGACCAGCTTGAGAGTCACTGGACCCCTGTCTCACAAAATAACTGTCCACAGTCCTCTGTTTCTGGCGCCTCTTTAACATTTCCCTAAAATGGGACATGGTTCTGTCACTGAACTTGTTGCAAAGATTGCTTGTTTCATCTTGCTCAAGGTGGTACTTCTGCACAAACATTTGGACATCATTCCACTTGGCACAAATCTCCTTAATCTTTGAAGAAGGCACCTCATCCACTCCCTATATTAACACCTTTCGCAACATCAGCTTCCTTGATTTGTTCTTTCTTTGACAGGATAGAACCCGGCGCCTGCGCGGGGACGCGGATAGAGCGGGCGGCAGACAGGTCCCGTACCCAGCGGTCCGAAAATAGGGGCGCATTCGATAATAGGGACACAGTTTGTCCGAAAAACTGGTCCTATTTTCAAAATGTTCGATATGTGATACGTTCGATTTTTGAGGTTCCACTGTATATTGCAAATTTGGTTGTATAGTCTAATTTCAGTCTGTCATGTGTTTTGAACAACTTCAGAGCTTCCCATATAAGCTTTATTTTACAGTTAATCAGTATCATTCATGTGATCTTAGTCACAATTTTTATTTTTTTTTAATGCTGACTCATAAGCCCCCTCTGTGTTTTATGTCTATAATATTTTATTAAACAATATTTATTCATATTTCTATTGTTTGACATTTATCCACATTAAATGCTTTCATCCAGTTCATACTCAGCCTGTTCAATCTGTCCAGATGTTCATGCAAGGATGCATAAACATTTTTATTGCTTATCTGCCATAGGATTTTTGTGTAGTCTATGAACATGTTCATATAGTTCTCAGTTCAGTCTGTCAAGTCATTTATCGTGTATTCAAACTAGGGAATGAAAATTCTGTAATGATCTTGCTGAGGTGAAGGTCAGTACTGCTCCCAGTGACTAAGAATCCTACCTCATTACGCATTCTGTAGTCCAACTTAAAGAGCATACTTGGAGATGCCAGTTCCCTAAGGAAGAGCTTCCAAACTGGGTTCTGCAAAAAATAAGTTGTTCAGATTATGTGAAATATTTCATGAGTGAGAGATACAGAGAGTATGATTTTACAATTTTTTTTACCTTTGGATTTTAAATGAGTGACTGACTGTAGAAAAAAGTGGGCTGAGGATCGTTGACATACATTTTAAACATACAGCTGATGATCATCAGGTTAGGTTATCACTCTTTCTAGGTTTCAGTTGGTATATGAGAGTTATGGCCATGTTAATGTTATTAATACATTGTATGTTTTTTTTTTTTAGCTTTTATCCCATCTAATACTCTATAATACTGTATTATGTATAGAAAAGCAAACCTCTATGACTAGTTAAGAACTTTTGCAAAATTCGGAAAGCAGAGTTTCATTAATAATTTTCTTTTTTTTTTCATTTTAGGTTGCCAAGTATCCTCATATTGATGATTACCGCCGAACTGTAGTGGAGTTAGATGAAAAGGAATATCTGTCTTTACGCATTACTCTGTCTGAGATACGAAACCACTATGCCACACTCCATGACATGATCACAAAGAACATGGAGAAAATCAAGAAGCCACGGTCTACTAACTCCATTGAAGCGATGTATTAAACATTTCCTCATTTCCTATAAACTAAACAGAATTCTGTCTTAAGTGTACTGTCCAAGAAATATCAGTGTATTCAAAACAATCGCAAGAATTTTTTGTTTTAAGTTTATGGAAAGATAACTTGAATTAAAACTATACAGGTAAATTACTGCTGTTACCTTAAGGGATTTTACTTGTTATATTTCACTATTTATACTCAAATAAGGCATTATTGAACTGTTACATATAAAAGTTATAAAGAAATGAAACACTAGCATACATGCTCATATGATTGTTGTTCACATTTGTTTGATTTATATCCTACTAATTATTAGTGTCATCAGAGCGTAAGCTTTCCTTGGTTATGCAACATACCTTAACCAAAAGAAATATTTTACTTGTTACTTCTTACAGTATTAAGGTAATTTTTACTGGATATTATGTGTAATTTCCCCTTACATACTATTTTTACCTAATGTGTACAAATGACGTTACATAACATTTTAATTACAGGTAGATATATTTCCTTGAGGAAAATATATTTTTTATAATGCTTATTTACTATTTTATGTGAAAGTTTGAAATGTTTTGACAAAATAGTTTTAAAATTTGGAGGAGAGTAATGTTTATTTTGCAGGTTATTTTTTCTCCTTATGCCTTTACAAAATGGCAGCTATCTTAAAAATGACACCATTGCCTAATAATCTAATTTAAATGTTTTCTAGTTATTTGGCCACTGGCAATAGTACTATAACATTCTACAAAGGCAGTTCATGTTGTTATAAAATATATGAAGAGAAAGGGTTCATAAAGAGATTTTCTATAAATCTAGGTGTCTATTCTGGTAAAAAGTTGCATGCTCTGCAAAGCTCCTCTTGTCATAAAAAATATATAATCAGCTAACCCCTTTTCTCTTTCCTTCTTTGAAGTTTCATCTACTAAGAAACAGTGCATATCACACATTTTAAAGAAGAGATAGATGCTTTATAATTGACTATCCTACAAGCATATAATTTTTCAATATTAAACATTATTTGTATTGTGTTAGACCTTAAGTACTCAATATCAAGGCATATTTAAGGTAAGTTTAAGCATTACAAAATGCAAGAGTATCTCTTTATTGAACTACAATAGTTGGTGATGATCTTAACTTTTTACAGAAATCCAGAAGGCTTTATAGTACACAGGAAATGCCATACTGTTGCAGTTTTCCATTCAGTAATATAATTTTTAAGTTAGAAGCAAAATGCAAATTACTCTAAAAGTATCTTTATGAGCACTACTGTACTTGGAATAAATACTCCTAGTGTGCTTTTCAATCACCCCTCCATAGACGTTCTTTGATGTTGGTGAGAGGTTCTTGAATTGGACCAGCGCTTCTTTTCTTGGATCAGTCCTAATTGCCTCCCATTTCCAAAGTGTATAGCTGTATGACTCCTATTGGTTTAGCATTCCCCATTATCCCTTAATGTAGCATAATAAGTCAAAGTAAAAACTACTCAGAATACCTAAAATCCTCAGAATTGTATTTCTTGGAGTGCAAGATCTTTACTTCAAAATTTAAATCTGGAAAATACTGGAAGGACAGGTTCCAAATCTTTATGCTAAAATCCCTTGAAGGGAAGTACCTTGGTGCTGATAAAGGGCTTTTGATCTGAAGAACTGGAGCTACCTCTCCTGATTACCCCATTCCCTGCCATAGGAAACCTGCTCTGTAGCAGAATTCTGCCTTAGTGACTTCATGGGCTACATGCATAGATATGTCGTTGGGATGTGATAGACCCTGTGGTCCCTATATCTCTTCAAGGGGGTGGGGGCTCCTTGATGAGGCAAAGAAACTTTTGGTCTGAGGAATTGGACTAATCTGTCTTCTTCCTCTGACCAAACCTAAATACCCCCCATTCCTCCCTTCTTAACCTATCCCTCCTTCCTTTTGGGGTCTTCCCCTCTGAAATTCTAGCTATGTCCATCCCATTCTTTTTAGGTCCTTGGTGGTGGTAGTGTTGTGGAATCCAGAGTTCTGGGGGGTGATGATGGCTGAAGGAGGTATGCCTTCTGGCGGGTTTCCAGACACCCTCTCTTGTCTGCCGAGGTGGCTCGATGGATGTGAGGTTGACATCTTGGATTTCTGGTTTACCGGCATGAAGGATAGGGTAGGGCATAGGTTCCATGCTGCATCTGCACTGTTGGCCGCACTGAGGGGGCTCTTGGGCACGAAGGGGGATATATGATCCCTTTCATTCCTCCTGGAGCGTGCTCTACATTCTCCCCACCCCCCTCTTTTTTTTTTTTTTTTTTTTTTTTTTTTCAAATAAAAATAGGGGAAACTTATCATGGAGACATGTACCTATGACCTGCCTCCTCCCAGGCCCTTTCCTTCTGCAGCACCCCCTAGAGACCTGTCACAGACCATTCTTCAGACCCTCTTCCAACCAGGTACCATTTCCGGGCAACATTTCAATACCCTCCTTTGGTACAGTTTGTTAGGTAAGACACATATGCAACAGTTAAGTATCTTTATTTCGAAACGTTTCGCCTACACAGTAGGCTTCTTCAGTCGAGTACAGAAAAGTTGATAGAAGCAGAAGAGACTTGAAGACGATGTAATCAGTCCATCACCCTTAAAGTTTTGAGCATTGTTCCAAAGTCTGAAACCATATGGTTTCAGACTTTGGAACAATGCTCTTCTCCAGACTGAGGGACTGACCACCTCAAAACTTTAAGGGTGATGGACTGATTACATCGTCTTCAAGTCTCTTCTGCTTCTATCAACTTTTCTGTACTCGACTGAAGAAGCCTACTGTGTAGACGAAACGTTTCGAAATAAAGATACCTAACTGTTGCATGTGTGTCTTACCTAACAACTTAATGCCTCTTGAGACGACCCCCCCCCCATCCCCCTCCCTCTTCTACCTTACACCCAAATCACCTAAAAACCCCTCAGCTCCGAATTATACCCTAGTTCACCCCATGCCTTATAATTTCTACATGCCAAATTCTTTACATTATACTTACACCATACACTGGCCACAAATATATCCCTGCTGTCTAGCATCCTTTTTGTTTTTTTGCAGCGGCATTCAAAATCCATGCCTCTTACCCAAACCAGTGTTGGTACCACTATTCTCTTGATACCATTCCCCTCAATGGAGGTTCCTTGACGCTGGTGAGGAACTCTTCATCTAGGGAATTGGATCTGTGCTCCAGTTCCCTGCTCTTGGTCTGAGGAATTAGACCTATCGGTCTTCTTCCTCAGACCGAACCTAATTACCCCCCAATACTCCCCTCCCCTATCCCATCCTCCCCTTTTTCCTTTCCTCCTCCTCCTCCCCACTCCTCCCTTTTGCCCTTCCTCTTTTTGTCCTTAGGGATTTCTTCCACAGGCGCACTAGTTCCTAGGTAGGAGAAAGGATACCGGGTCCATCCCATTCGTTGAGGTTCTTGCGGTGGCGTTAGTTTCCCGGGAATCTGGATCGCCTGGGATTTTTCCCGATCCTCTGGAAATCCCGGATTTGCTTTGGTGTCTTTCGGCATGAGTGTATCTCTGGAAGCCACCTTTCGGATCCGGGGGGGTGGCCAAAAGAGGTATGCTTTGTGGCGGATATCCAGCCGCCCTCTCTTTTGTCCACCGAGGTGCTCGGCAGATGTGAGGTTGCTATCCGATTGTTTAGTTTACAAAGTCATGATGGTGGGGTTTAGGGCACGGGTTCCCATGCTGAAATCTGCGTACTTGCGGTGCTGAGGTCCTCTTGGGGCGGAAGGGAGATTTTGGCCATTTCTTCCCCTAGGACCTTTCCCTCCCGGTCCCCCCCCCTTTTTTTTTTTTCTTTTTTTATTTTTATTTTTTTCTTCTTTCTTTTTTTTCTTAAAACAAAAAGAAAGAGTAACCTACCCATGGCAGCCCTGCCCATGAACCGGGTACCGGGCCCCCTTCTTGATACCGCACCCGTTCTGACCCGCCTCGTCTTTGGACCACTCTTCAGAATTCCTCATGCCTCTGTCCCTATTCCCTGTGCTGTTTCTTCACCGTTTTCAGGTACTGGGGCCTCGACTGACTCCTTCGATTTATCGGACCTTCGCTCTCCTCTGACTATGCTTCCGGCCCTTCCCTCTACGTGCGGCAATTTTCAAATCCCCAACCGTTCCACGTCAGACCAACTTGGTCCACGCCTAAACGCCAACGCCCAAATTTACCTGCAAATGATACTTCTCCACCTTCTCATTCTTCTCAGAAACGATCGCACGTCCTTCACAAACCTTTCCAACGCTAGTTTCAGACTGAAACAGGGGACTAAATTCTTCACTTTAAACGACCAATTTCCTTACTGCCTATCTTTCTGACCATAGTATGGCAAGGCATTTCCTACGATGTTGGTAAAGTATTTCTTTCATGTCTTAAGAGCGGTACGCATCATTTACCGTACAGAATGCTCCCCAGGCTCACGAGTCTTCTTCTTTCCATATCCGAACTGTTCCTGTCACTCTTGAAAAAATCTTTCCCCACAATTCTTGTAGTGGAACCGTCATTTGCCCCATACCAAGTTCAACAAAATTTCCGAATGTGGCACTGACATTCTAGAACAGCTGGAATCCAGATTCCCAATTTCAAGGTGGGACACTTACGTTCTTCCTCCTGGCGGAGACGATCCCTAGCAATGTGGTCGTTTTAACTTTTGGGACAGCCAAAGAAACTCCCATCCCAGTTTATATAGCAGGACCATCGTTTACAAGTTCGAAAGTGATCTACACCCAACAGTTAGAAATTGCTGGCGTTTGGCCATCACGAAATATTGCAATCTAATCGCCGAAGGGCCCAGTTGTGGGGGCCATGACTTTCTAAATAGTCTTGCAATCGATCTCCCTCTTGCCTTAACTGTTCATAGCTCACCCTTCGTACTCTCGCGTTGTCAGGTCTATTTAAATGAGGGAAAATCGTTACCTCAAAGAGACAGAAGGTCTCCCTTATGCCATGGCAGTTCTCATCTCCCCCTCCAAGGGAGACTCCCACGTGTTTCTTATTCCCGTGTTTCATAACGTCCCCCCACTTCTATTTATCCCATCTTCTACACCCACCTCTGTGGTTACCTCTCCCATAATCACTCCTGTATCTAATCCTTTTGTGTCCTCGGCTCAGATTGTCCCTATTTCAACGCCTCAGTCTAATCTCGCTTCTTCGAGTTCTCTCTCACAAGCCTCAGTATCGACGAGACCTCGTACGACCCCTCCTCCCAATCGTCCTCTACTTCTCAAAGTCAAAAAAAGGTCGGTAACACCTCCTACCCATCTTCCACCCCCCTCATTTTACCCTCCCTGTCTCTGTCCCTAGTTCTTCCCCTCTCACGGGCTCAGTTACAAGTGCAGAGGTTCACCCCCCTCGTAATGTCCCTTTCCCTCCCTGTTCCCTCCCAAGTTTTTTCCTCTTCTGCAACCTCCCAGGTTCCTGCCTCTTCTGTCCCCTGCCCCGCCTTCTCCAGTTCCTCCACCCCTTTTACCCCCCCTACCTTGGTACAGTCCAATACAGTTCCAATCCTTTTCTCATTCCTCCCCCTACCATTCCCAATATTGTCTCCCATACGACATCTCTGAATTCCGAAACACTTGAAGCAATCTCTGAAAATATTGCAGAGACCAACCATCAATGGACACTGATCCACCTTCCGCTCTTTCTCTCTCCTCTGCTCCATCTGCGCAACTCCTTTCTTCACAGCGCCACCGTTTTCCCTTTGCTGCTTGAACATTTTCCACTGCCTCTGCATGTGGACTTTTCTAACCCTTCTAGTCCGTAGGAACCCTTACCTGCGGATTTCAAGTATCTTTATCATTGCCAATCATGGCTATTTACAGTGGAAAAATACGCGGCCTCAGGGTAATCGGGGTGAGCTTCAGATGTTACTCTCCCCAGTTTGCCCTTGTTGGTGTTTGCTTACAGGAACCCCAAAAATTTCACTTGCTGTTATTTCTCACATCTCGGGCTATAATTTATTGTATTCTTCAGATCCTTTTCCTGATGGGACCTTTAAAGAAAGTGCCCTTTCTCCGCACTGATATTCTGTACCATCAGCTATTTGTTCATACTTCGCTGCATTTTCACAGCAGCCCGTATCCACTTACGTAGGGGGGTATACGCTCTGTTCTTTATATCTCTCCCTTCTCGGGGATTATCTATTCCGGATTTTGCCTTCCTTGTTTCGTCATTACCGCCACCGATTCTGTTTTCTTGGTGATTTTAATGCCACCATTTCTCTTGGGGGGGGGGTCTCACTGTGATTCCCGTGGAATTCAGTTAGAGGCTTTTCTTGCCACCCCCCCCTCCATGTTTTAAATACAGGTACTCACACCCATTTTGATCCTCGGACTCATACTCTCTCTTGCATCGATCTCTCAGTTTGCTCTTCCTCCGCTGCATTAGACTTCACTTGGTCTGTTCTCCCAGACTTACATGACAGTGTTTATTTCCCCAATCATTCTTTCTTCCCCTTCATATTCGCCACCTTCTTTGCACCCCACGCTGGCAATTTAATCGGGCAAAAATTTGGGAACTTTACTCACACCTTTAAATGTTTTTAAAGAGGTTCCTTCTTCGTCCTCCATCGAGAGCTTTTACACCTCTTCTCGTCCTCCGTTTTCACCGCAGCTTCTCATTCTATACCCCAAACTTCGGGCAGGCATTCTCAGAAATGCTGCCTTGGTGGTTCTCCTGCTTGTGCTCATGCAGTACGTTTGAAACGCGCTGCATGGGGCAGGTACCGGTTTCAATAGAACCACAGAGCGACTCCTTGATTTTAAAAAAGAAGCGTGCGATCGCTCGCCGTGTCATCCGTGACGCTAAACCCCACTTGCTGGCGAGATTATGTCTCCACCATCACCTCTGCTTCCTCTATGAGTGCAGTCTGGAAAAAAGTACGAAAACTGAGTGGTAAATATTCTCCTGACCCGGCTCTGTTCTGCGGGTTGCCGGTGTTGATATAGCAAACCCACTAGATGTTGCCAATGAAATTGGCAATCATCTGGTCCGTATTTCTCAGGGACTCCATCTATTTCCCTCATTTCTTTCCTCAAAGTCTGCCAGAGAGTTAGCACCCTTGGACTTTTCTTCTCTCAGAGAAGAACAGTATAATGTGCCTTTTACACTTTAAGAACTGGAGGCAACACATCAGCTTGTCGATCATAGGCAGCTGGGCCTGACGACATTCATATTCGTATGCTACAACATTTACATCAGTCAGCCCTTGCAGTCCTATTACGCCTTTACAATTTATTTGGTCACAAGGAGTTCTTCCACAGCTGTGGAAATCCGCATTGTTCTCCCCTTCCGCAAAACCAGGCACTACGGGACGTGAAACCTCCACTATCGTCCCATTGCTCTTACCAGTGCAGTTTGCAAAGTAATGGAACGCCTAGTAAAAAGACGTTTAGTGTGGTATTTAGAGACACACAACAGTCTCTCCACTCGTCAATATGGCTTTTTGTAAGGGACGTTCTACCATAGACCCCTTACTACGCTTGAATACCCTATGTTCGTAATGCCTTTGCGAATAACACTCAGTTATTGCCATATTTTTGACCTTGAGAAGGCATATGACACAACTTGGAGGTATAATATTTTAGCCCAGCCACTCCCTTTGGCCTTCGAGGCAATCTACCATCCTTCCTTAAGAACTTTTTAATGACAGGCATTTCCCTGTTCGGGTTAATAATTGCTCTCCCCCGGGCTTTATCCAAGCTGAAGGTGTCTCCAGGGATGTGTTCTGAGCACAACACTTTTTCTCCTTTGCTATTAATGATTTGGCCTCTAGTCTTCCATCAATATTTGGTCAATCACTCTATGTTGATGACTTCGCTATTGCTGTGCAGGCGCGACTGTCAACCTCCTTAAGTTTCTCCCCAAAAGCAGTCGACGTTTTTCCAATTGGGCCACCACACGGGGGTTTTAAAATTTTCCAGATAAAACCCCCCAAATCATTTTTCACTAGACCTCTGTCATTCGTCATCCTTTGTAACCTCTATGGCTCCGTACCCCTAACGTGTACATAAATTTTCGGGGCCTCCTTTTTGATCGTAGGTTATCCTGGAAACCTCACATTACCTCTCTGAAGGCAACTTGTCACAGCCGGCTGAACCTTCTTAAAACCCTTGCTCATCTTTCGTGGGGAGCTGATCGTCGAACCCTCCTTCGCCTACATTCCACCCTTATTTTATCGAAACTTGATTATGGTGACCAGATCTATTCAGCGGCATCTCCTGCTACTCTCTCTAGCCTTAACCCCATTCATCACCAAGGATTACGTTTATGCCTTGGTGCTTTCCGCTCTTCCCCTGTCGAGAGCCTCTATGCAGAAGCGAACGTTCCATCCTTATCCGATCGCCGTGATGCCCATTGCCTGCACTACTATGTATGCTCTCATGATCTCCGCAATCCTTCCATTTATAGAATGGTCACTGATATTAGTAGACATTCTTTATTTGTTCGCCGCCCCTGTTTACTCCGTCCCTTCTCTCTTCGCCTTCATTCGCTCTTGTCTTCTCTTCAACTACCACCTTTCTATGTACATGTAGCATCTCACTTTTCCCTACCCCCCTGGGAAGTTCCAGCTGTTCGAGTCTGTTCTTTCTCCCTCCCTTGCTCGAAAGCCCAACTGTCTACGGTCGCTTCCCGCTCTCTTTTTCTTGACCACTTTCACTCTCATTCTCATGCCATTGCTGTGTACACAGATGGCTCTAAGTCTTCTGACGGCGTAGGATTCGCAGCAGTGTTTCCGGACAGCATCGTACAAGGGCATTTACTATCTTCGGCTAGTATTTTTACTGCTGAATTATATGCCATCCTTACAGCACTTATCCGTATTGCATCTATGCCTGTGTCATCATTTGTGGTTGTCTCAGACTCCCTTAGTGCTTTACAGGCTATACAAAAATTTGATACACCTCACCCCTTAGTCCTCCGTATCCAACTTTGGCTACGCCGCATCTTTCCAAGCATAAAGATATTGTTTTTTGTTGGGTCCCTGGTCATGTTGACGTACAGGGCAATGAACAGGCAGACACTGCTGCGCGGTCAGCAGTACATGACCTACCAGTTTCTTATAGAGGTATTCCATTTACGGACTATTTTGCTGAATATCTTCCCACCTTCACACCCGTTGGCAACAACGTTGGTCTACTATGCTCGGCAACAAACTTCAGTCTATTAAACCGAGTATAGGTTACTGGCCGTCTTCTTATCACCAGTGTCGAGGTTGGGAGACTACTCTCTCCCGTCTTCGCATTGGCCATACTCGTCTTACTCATGGATATCTCATGGAGAGGCGTCTTGCTCCTCTCTGTGAGAATTGCCAAGCTCCATTATCAGTCAGCCACATTCTGTTGGACTGCTGTATAGTCCTTGTGGCTTAGCGCTTCTTTTTTTGATTATAATAATAATAATTCTGTTGGACTGGCCACTTTATCAACGAGCACGCAGAATTTACCTCTGTCGTCGTCTTCGCTCCGCTGCTCTCTCTTTACCTTCCCTTCTCGCTGATGGACCCACCTTTCATCCGGACTCTCTCATTGACTTTTTGACAACGACTGACTTACTTCACAAATTCTGATACCTTCAGCCCTTTCTACTTCAATCTCTTGCTACCCTCTACCCCCGTACTATCCCCTGCCCCGCTGTTTTCTGTAACCTGCTGATCATCCCCCCTCCCTTCTGCCATCCAATTCCCTTGCTTCCTTCCCTACCCTGCAGCGCTGTATAGCCCTTGTGGCTTAGCGCTTCTTTTTGATTATAATAATAAATCTAGTTCCCTGAATTAAGCCTGAATATCTTCAGTCCCCCCCACATGGGCTGTATAATCCTACGGGTTTAGCGCTCCTCCATAATTATAATAATCTTGGTATCAGTCTGGCGCATTCCCTTTTTGCCTCCAATTACGGCTCCCATCATCTTTCACAGACCTGAGACACCTTTCTGAGACTTACCACTATGTTTTAGTACTTTTACACTGCTCATACCTGTCACAATTTTGTAATTTCTAAGACAATTACATATCCTAAAAGTTAAAAAAAAAAAAAAAAAAAAAAAAAAAAGAGCAAGTGACTTTGTCTCGGACAAATGACTACAGCAATGTTTTGGGAATTTTCCCATTGTTCGTGCGTAACATTTAAGTTCATGTGCCCACCACAACTGACTTTTAATTATTTTCCTAACTAACTGTCCTAGAAGCTACAAAATTTTAACCTGAAGCAAATTCTTAATTTAAAAAAAAAAAAAAATGCACAATACCGTGACTGGAACGATACACAAATAACCCGCTCCCTTGCAGTGCTCCTCTTAGCATTTGACTGGCTCCTCCTCTTACTACCGCCCCACTACTACTACCATCTGCCTATATATACACTTCCGCTTTCCTTTTCGTTAGTGTGACTTTGTTAACGGTCCAAGTTGGACCGAAACGCCGTCGTAAGCTCCTCTATGTGCAGGTTATTTGTTTCTCTTAATTTTAAAATTTTAATCAACTACCAACTGCCAGTGAATGTTGGGTTTAATCTGCTGAGAATACAGCAGAATTTTTGTTTTAAATTTTTTCCAGTAACCTGGCATTAAAAGGGACACATACAGCTTGTATATTAAACAGCAAATGAAACCACAATGTATGAATCAATTTTTTATAGTACAGTATATGCAACTACATTAAAGAAAATGTGTCCACGGGTAAACGGAACTGAAAACAAGATGTTTGTACTAGTGAACTAACATCAAAGTGCCTGTCTGTCATGTACACATGTTTAATAAACCTTATGTGAATACACCCACTTGCCCCAATGCTGAATAATTCACAATGATGAATAATAAGATAGCACAAGGAACCAGGGAGCAAGCCAACAGCTGGGGCACAAAGGCTTACACACGAGTTTGAAACATCAATAGCACCCACCTGCAGAAATACCTGCTCCCCACCATGCAGGTAAAATGGTAAATGGTCTAACACTGTTGTCCCATGTCAGACAAGCGCATGTTTAGGTAGATAATCAAGGATTAAAAATCATGTTATGGACAGGCAATTGCTCTACTGTTCTTGATGAATTCTAACATTTAAGGCAGTCAAGTGTGAATTTCCCAAGTTTAATGTTATGAACAGCCTCAGTTAATAATGAATCAAAATCATGTTTGTAAATATACAGTATTGTATTATATTTAACCAAAAATACTGTATACATAAAGTACACCAAAATTTCACTGATAACTTTCAATTAATGAAAAAATGAGGTACTACAGATCATCATTATATTATGCACAAAAGGAAGTGCAAAACTTGTGCGTCATACAACACTGCTGGGATATTATAGAAACATTACAATAAAAGAATTTAAACAAAATATTGATATCCAGTACTTATTTTACTACAGTATAAGTAATAAGATTTAACATTAAAAAATAGGCTTAAGATTATCGAGAGTAATTTTTACGTGTAAGCCATGAAAATTTATTTGATTACTTTTTTCAATACATATAACCACACATGAATATAGAAAAGGCGCTGTATGACCCTTACGGGTTGAGCACTTTTCCATGATTAAATGGATATAAGGGAGATAGTAATTTTGTACAATAGGGAAATAATGCTGGAGACATATTTTACTGCTAAAGCTAGTGAAAATGACAGTATCAATACATTTCAAAAAGTGAGAAAATAAATATACCTAAAATAAAATAAGAACCGAGTTACTGATGGGAATATTTCAAACTGAGTTGGCATAGTACTGTATATAGTATGTTGTTTATTTGTCATTTCATAACTAAATATTTATCTTTGACTGCCTATACTGAAAAAATGCTTCCTGAAGAATTCAGTGATACATACTGTAACAAACATGCCTTTTTTTTCCTGAAAAGGTAAAAATATATACTAATTTTGCTATTTGAACATTTACTGTACTTTTAATGATAGAAAATCACTTAACAAAATCATAAAACAAATTAGCAATTAACTTGCAATGCTGGCATGCCTTGCAAATGGTAATAAATCTATAGACCCTCTTTATGAATACCTCACTATTTCCTTAATTTCTTTAAGTAAATTTTTTTCACATTTTCTTGAGTTTGAAAATTAATTTCTTTGAAAAATACTTATCCATTTTTCTGTTTTTTTTTTAGGAAACTATAATTTTTCTTATTTAATTTTTTGTTTGGTAAGACTACTTTTGATCAGCTTTTTATGGTGTAGCTATACCACCCTCCTCGACTGGTTGATCATCTGCAACAGCTGGAGATTCTTCCTCTGTCATTTTGTCGACAGAACTTCTTTCAGCATGTGAAACACCCAAATCAAAACTCTCAAGGATTATAGATTCTAAAGATTTTGGCACTTTATTTGGAGAGGCAGGTGGAAACTTAATTCCACTCTCTGCGGAATGGGAACCAAACATATAACGCATAGCATTTGGTGATACCTCATATAATGAGAAATCACTTTCTAAGGATTCATGCGGGCTTTTTGAATCTGCTTCTGAGGATGCCTGAAGACTATTTGAATCTGTTTCTCTTAATGCCTGGGGACTTTTTGGATCCTTTTCTGAAGATGCCTTAGGACTTTTTGGATCCATTTCTAAAGATGCCCGAGGACTTTTAGCATCTGTTTCTGAAGCTGCCTGAGGACTTTCTGTATCTGTCTCTGAAGGTGCCTGAGGACATTTTGTATCTGTTTCTGAAGATGTTTGAGGACTTTTTGGATCCATTTCCGAAGATGCTCGAGGACTTTTAGCATCTGTTTCCGAAGATGCTTGAGGACTTTTTGAATCTATTTCTGAAGATGACTGAGGACTTTGTTTATCTGTTTCTGAAGATACCTGATTTCTTTTGGACTCTGTTTCTGTGGATGCTTGAGGCCATTTTGGATCTGTTTCTAATGATGTCTTTAGACTTTTCATATTTGTTCTTGAAGATGCCTGAGGACTTTTTGAGTCTGTTTCTGAAGACACCTGACTTCTTTTTGGCTCTGTTTCTGAGGATGATTGAGGCCATTTTGGATCTGTTTCTAATGATGCCTGAGAACTTTTCGTATCTATTTCTGAAAATGCCTGTGGACTTGTCGAATCTGTTTCTGAAGATGTTTGAAGAGTTTTTGAATCTGTCATTTTGTTGACAGGACTTCTTTCAATATCTGAAGTACTCAAATCAAAACTCCCAAGGCTTATAGAATCTGTCATTCTATATGGAGATGCAGGTGGTAACTTTAATCGACTCTCAACGGAATAGGAACCAAACATTAGACGCATAGCATTTGGTGACACCTCATATAATGAGGAATCACTTTCTAATGATGCCTGAGGACTTTTTGGATCTGTTTCTAAAGATGCCTGAGGATTTTCTGACTCTGCTTCAGAAGATGCCCGAAGACATTTTGTATCTGTTTCTGAAGATGCCTGAAAACCTTTTGAATCTGTCATTTTCTTGGCAGTTAGAAGCTTCATTCGACTCTCAATGAAATAAAAACTAAACATTAAATGTTGAGTATGTGGTGACTCCTTATATGATGAAAAACCACTTGCTGCTGATACTTTAGGACTTTCTGTATCTATTACTGAGGACGCCTGAAGACTTTTCATATCTGTTTCCGAAGATGACTGAAGACTTTCTGGATCTGCTTCTGATGATGCCTGAAGACTTTCTGGATCTGCTTCTGATGGTACCTGAAGACTTTTTGGATACAGCCGTTTTTTATTATCTTCTGAAACTATTTTCTCTTGAGATATGAGGTTATCTTGCAGAGTAATTTTGTCCGATGCCCCCTTCTCCATTTCTTGATGCGCTATACACCTAACAAATTAAAAAAAAAGGAAACATCACAATATTTACAAGGAAATTTCATAAAAAAATATGTATGTGGAACCTCAAAAAAATCTGAAGTGACAGTGGTTGCATGCTACCATTTTCTTCTTAATAGTTTAATAACTATCTGTACCCATAGATACCCTTTAAGGAGGAGGGCTTTGATACCAGTGAAGGGCTCTTTATCTAAGGATCTTCAAAGAGGGTCCCTTGATGTAGTGAAGGACTCTTAGCCCCAGGAATTGGATATCTTATCCTTTTCCTAAGACCGAATCTAAATACCCCCAACCCCCTCCCCCTCTCTTAATTTGGCCTGATTAGTAGTGTTGTGGTAGTTGCGTCAATCCACCCGATGGGAATGGGATTATCTTGGGATGTGCTAAATGACCATCCGGTGACAAAGGACAATCACCTTGCATGGCCTCTGAAGTGTTACCAGAGTCAGTAGTGGCAACTGAAAGCGTATGATTCCTGGAGTTTCTGGTTGCTGTAATTACTGGTTGAATAATAACTGGATAGTGATATCTGAGGAGCATTTTGACTATGTGGATCGTTCAATGCTAGTGGTAAAAAAAATATATATACTCTCAATGGCCACTTTATCAGTCACACCAATACACCTGTTCGTTGACGAAAATATCTAAATCAGCCAATTACATGGCAGCATTCCAATGCCTAAAAACATGCAGACATGGTCAACAGGTTCAGTTGTTGTTTAGACCAAACATCAGAATGGGAGAGAAATGTGATCTAAGTGACTTTGTGGAACGATTGTTGGTGCCAGATGGGGTGGTTCGAGTATCTTAGAAACCACTGATCTCCTGGGATTTTCATGTACAACAGTTTCTAGAATATACATAATGGTGTGAAAAGCACAAAACATTCAGTGGGCAGTGTTTCTGTGTGCAAAAACGCCTCGTTAACGAGAGAGGTCAGAGGAAAATGGCAAGACTGGTTCAAGCTGGCAGGAAGACGACAGTACTCAAATAACCACACATTGCAACAGTGTGCAGAAGAACATCTCTGAAAGCACATGTCGAACCATGAAGTGGAAGACCACACCAGAATCCACTCCTGTCAGCTAAGAACAGGAAACTGAGGCTACAGTGGATAGTTAAAGATTGGAAAACCATTGCCTGGTCTGACGAACTGAAATTTCTGCTGCTACATGCAGATGCTAAGATCAGAATTTGTCAGTAGTTCAGGCTGGTGGTGGTAGTGTAATGGTGCGGGGAATGATTTCCTGGCACAATAGGTCCATAATACTAAACAAGCATTGTTTAAATGCCATATCCTACCTAAGTATTGTTGCTGACCATGTGTATCTCTTTATGGCTACAGTCTACCTATCTTCAAATGGCTACTTCCAGCAGGATGGCGCATTATGTCATCTCCAGCTGGTTCCACGAATATGACAAGTTCACTGTACTCCAATGGCTTCCACTGTCACCACTTCTCAGCCCAACAGAATACCTGTGGGATGTGGTGGAATGGGAGATTCTCACCACGAATGTGTGGCTGATAAATCTGCAATAACTGCATGATGCTATCATGGACCAAAATCTCTAAGGAATATTTCCAGCACCTTGTTAAATTCATGCCACGAAGAACCCAAGCTATTCTGGGGGTAAAGGGGGGCTCTACAAAGTAGTAAAAGTGAGTATACAAAACACACACACACACGAGTAATGATAAAATTAATAATCAATAAAAAATATTAACGTGAATACAACACACCACAAATTAATACTATCATACCGAGTTAAAATAACTGGTATCACTTAAAGACCCCATTATATTATTTATGTCAAAATGCTCTCCCAAAAGTTCACGGGGATTTTACAGGCACCCTGGTAATTGTATAAAACGATGATGACAGCGAAGAGGCCTAAGCCGTTTGCAAACTGTTAAACTGTATTGCTGTCAGCTACATAACACGAGATACACAAGTGGGGGCCAGGGTACGGGCGACAGCAAGAGCACTTGCTAACAGGTGGCTGTTGTGAGATGTGTGCCTAACGAAATTCGTTTCAAAGTCATGTTTCCCATTGGAGGAGGGTTAAACACCCACATCCTGCCAAACCCTGTATAACTTCTCGTCTGTAGGATCCACTCAAGTTCGATCCAACGAAGGGAAGCATATGTACAATTCTTTAGATTAAAAAGCCCCTCACCAGCATGCATATTATAGTATGAATGATGGTGGTGAAAGTGTTTTTTTTTTCGGGTCACTCTGCCTCGGTGGGAGGCGGTGGGAGGCGGCTGGAGGCAGCGGAGACGTGTTTGAGGGCAATATGTGGCGTAAATATTATGCAGAGAATTCGTAGTTTGGAGATTAGGTGTGGAGTTACTAAAAGTATTACCTAGAAGGCTGAGGAAGGGTTACTGAGGTGTTTAGATCATTTTAGAGAGGATGGAGCAAAACAGGATGACTTGGAGGGTATATAAATATATAGTGGAAGGAAGGCGGGGTTGGGGTCGTCCTTGGAAAGGATAAAGGGGTAAAGGATGTTTTGTGTGACAAGGGGCTTGGACATACGGCAGGCATGTGTGATCGTGTTAGGAGTGGAGAAAAATGGTTTTTGAACTTCACGAGCTGTTGGAGTGTGAACAGGGTATTATTTTGTGAAAGGATTCAGGAAAGCTGGTTAGCCCAACTTGAGCCCTGGAGATGGGAAGTACAGAGCACACTAAAGGAGGGGTTTGGGATATTTTCTGTTTAGAGGGACATCTAAACTGTCGTATCTGCGCGAGTATGGCAAGACAGTGATAGTGTGAATGATGGCGAAGTGTTTCTTTTTCGGGTCACCTTGCCTCGAAGGGAGACGGCCATCTCCCACTGATTACGCAGAACCAGCAAGTTTGACCTATTCGGCAAAGGTGTTCTTTGCCGGATCAGGAGGATGTTTTTTTTTTCGTCATAAAGAGCAGAAATCAATCTAAACATACTGAACAAAAATATATATCATTGATTTTAAGTAATATTCAATAAATGTAACCTGATTTATACTATACATAGCAGAATGTATCTAAAAAATACGCTAGGTAAGGTTTCTAAGTTAAGTTTGGTCCAAAAATAAAACATTTTATATCATTGTCAGTGAAAAAATATATCTATCACTCTGTAAACAAAAAAGCAGTAAAATTTTTAAGTGAAGAGTGATGCTCAGGTTAAAGTATGTAGAATAGAGGGAGGACTATTTCCCAACAAAAGTAAGACTTAAAACAGGGATGTGTCACCTTGGTTATTTACCATACTGTAAGATGTGTGACATGCGTGAGAGCAATGTGTGGTGTGAACATTATGAAGAGATTTCAGAGCTTAGAAAAGGCGATGAGTGTCACCAAGGGTATAATTCGGAGGGCTGAGGGTTTAGGTGGTTTTCGCATTCAGAGGATGGAAATGTATTGAATGATAACGAGGGTATATAATTTTTTGTGGAAAGTATGACGGGTACAGGTTGTCCTAAGAACACTTTTTTGATAGTTGCAACAGGATCCACAGACACAATACCAGACACAAAAATCTCTTTGACATTTCGCGTGTCTGACTAAACCTCTACAAAAATTCGATGTACATAAAAGGGCCTAAAATCTGTAATTCACTGCCTGAAAACTCTAAAACTGCAGACTCAGCCACCATTTTCAAAACTACCGTCAAAAAATATCTTATCTCCCTAACACACCCCATCACTAGCTAACCAATTGAAAACCACCTAATTTTCTTTTTTGTATCATGAACACATCCAAAACAATAGTCTTCCACTCATTATCTCTAATTCCCCTTAATTTACACTTACACCCACCCAAATGACTGTAAACATAAAATTTCTAATATAACTACTACCTACAAAATGAGATCAGTCACGAGGGAGCCTTCACCAAATTCAACTTCAATAACAAGAACATAAAGTGGGACCAAGTAAACCAAGTCCTACACGATATAAGCTTGGAAGATAGACTAAGCAACACAGACCCCAACTTATGCCTAGAACAGATTAACTCTGTGGCACTCGATGTATGCTCAAGGCTTATTCCTTTAAGAAAAAGGAGTAGTAGATGTAAAATAGAAAGAGACAGGCGCTCCCTTTACAGGCGACGGAAAAGAATAACAGAGCGGCTAAAAGAGGCCAATATATCTGAAATGCGTAGGGAGACACTGGTCAGAGAAATAGCAAGCAGAACTAAAGCTAAAGGAATCTCATAGGAGTCAGGAATAGCGGGAAGAACTAAAAGCCATAAATGAAATCGAAAGAAACCAAAACTATTTCTTTTCTTATGCCAAATCAAAGTCGAGAACAACATCCAGTATTGGGCCCCTACTTAAACAAGATGGGTCCTACACAGATGACAGCAAGGAAATGAGTGAGCTACTCAAGTCCCAATACCTGGAGTTTACCTGGAGAGAGTTCCGGGGGCCAACGCCCCCGCAGCCCGGTCTGTGACCAGGCCTCATGGTGGATCAGAGCCTGATCAACCAGGCTGTTACTGCTGGCTGCACGCAATCCAACGTACGAGCCACAGCCCAGCTGGTCAGGTACCGACTTTAGGTGCTTGTCCAGTGCCTGCTTGAAGACAGCCAGAGGTCTATTGGTAATCCCCCTTATGTATGCTGGGAGGCAGTTGAACAGTCTCGGGCCCCTGACACTTATTGTATTGTCTCTTAACGTGCTAGTGACACCCCTGCTTTTCATTGGGGGGATGTTGCATCGTCTGCCGAGTCTTTTGCTTTCGTTGTGAGTGATTTTCGTGTGCAAGTTCGGTACTAGTCCCTCTAGGGTTTTCCAGGTGTATATAATCATGTATCTCTCCTGCCTGCGTTCCAGGGAGTACAGGTTCTGGAACTTCAAGAGCTCCCAGTAATTAAGGTGTTTTATCTCCGTTATGCGAGCCGTGAAGGTTCTCTGTACATTTTCTAGGTCAGCAATTTCACCTGCCTTGAAAGGTGCTGTTAGTGTACAGCAATATTCCAGCCTAGATAGAAGCGG